CCACCTGGGCAGCCAGCATCTCCACCAGGTGCAGCGCCTCAGTCCAGCCTCCTCGCGCGCACCCTCGAACGGATGAGACGTCTGAGTAGTGAAGTCCCTGCTGCTCACATGGCAGACCCCAAACTGAATTCCTGGCTCCTGGCTTCAGCCGGGCCCAGCCCTAGTTTGCAGGCATTTAGGAAGGAAACAAGGACAGGAAATTCATTTTCTCTCTCTCCCTCTCTCTCTCTCTCTTTCTCTCTCTCTCTCCCTCTCTGTCTCTATCAAGTAAATAAACCAAAAGCAAATAAAAATAATCCTGTCACAGGATGTGACACTCTTGCATCAGAAACTAACAACAGCTTAATACTAGCAATGATAATGGTGGTCAGAATATTATTATTTGTACTGATATCCAAGATCTTATTTCTAAGGGACAATGCAAGGAGAACTGATACGTGAACACCTGCCTGGTGTATGTTACCTTACAGGACTCCAAGAATTCAAAAGAGCTGCAAGCAAATATGCCCAGCTGTTCCCCCAGAAGAATGATCCTAATCATCCAGGAAACAAAGACGTGTCCCCCCCCCCCCCCCCCCCCCCCCCCCCCCCCCCCGCGCAGGTAAGAGACATGGTTTCCACTTCCGAGAGGAGCGGCCACACAAGCTTCCTTGACAAACATAGTCACCAGGTCCAGTGCAGTAGCCTAGTGGCTAAAGTCCTTGCCCTGTATGCGTCAGGATCCCATATGGGCTCTGGTTCGTGTCCCAGCTGCTCCACTTCCCTTCCTGCTCGCTGCTTGTGGCCTGGAAAAGCAGTCAAGGAAAGCCCAAAGCCTTGGGACCCTACACCTGTGTGGAAGACCTGGAGGGGGTTCCTGGCTCCTGGCTTCAAATCAGCTCAGCTCTGGCCATTGCGACCACTTGGGGAGTGACCAAGTGGTTGGAAGATCCCTCTCTCTGTCTCTCCTTCTATCTGTATATCTGACTTTCCAATAAAAATAAATATTTTAAAAAAGCATAATCCAATAAAAGCAGTCTATGCTACTGTGCAACAGATGTACTAAAAGAGAAATCTATGAAATTCAACAAAAATGTTTCTCAACACCGATTGCCTTTGGGTCGTGAAGCTAAAAAGATTTTCAAGAAGTCAGGATGCTGTTGGATTAGAATGTATCAGGAAAAAAAAAAGTAAAAAAACATTGGTTCATTCAAAAACCTATGTAAATTAAAACTACTTCAGCTGAGTTATAATATTGTAACATACCTGTGTATCAAATATTTACAAGTAAATAATTAGAGTGTATTGGAAGTCTGGTTTTGTATTTCCAGGATAGTACCTTGATCAAGTTGCATCAATAAATTTCTAGACCTATAATGCTTATGAAATGAACTTTTGGGGACTTCTAAATATTAAATATACCCTTAAAATTTAAATTAAGCAGACCCTCAAAATAGAATAATGTTCTTAGGTTACTAGATGTTATTCAGAATTCTTGTTTTTTTTTAAGGTTTATTTTTATTAGAAAGGCATATCAGATTTATATAGGGAAAAGGAGACAGAAAGATCTTTCATCCACTGGTTCACTCCCCACATGGCCACAGCAGCCGGAGCGGAACCAATCCAAAGCCAGGAGCCACAGCTTCTTCTGGATCTCCAAAGCAGGTACAGGGTCTCAAGGCCCTGGGCCATCCTCTACTGCTTACCCAGGCCATAAACAGGGAGTTGGATGGGAAGTTGAGCATTTGGGACACAAATCAGCACCCATATAGATCCCTGTGCCTGCAACATGAGGACTTAGCCATTTAGCCACTGTGCTGGGCCCTTAAATCAGGATTCTAAAGTCTGTATGTATTTAAAGTATTTGTCTAAGTATGAATCTTATTTAAATTCTATACATTTCAATTTAATCTATATAAAAATATTTGGGATGATAAAAAAAACACTGTTAGATTTTTTTTCTAGCTATAGATTCAATGCCAGAATTTTTTACAGCTACCTGAGAATCAAGATCACATCTCAAGTGCAAGGTCATGGCCCAGGGTTTGAGCGAACCACATACCACATCAGTGAGTCTGGGTTTGCTCGGCTCTAACCCGTCTCCAGCTTTCTCTGGATGCAGATGCTGGGACACAGCATGGGGGCTTGAGGAGCTGGGGTTCTGCACTCCATACAGGAAACACGGACTGTGGTCCCAGACCATGGCTTTGGCCCTGATCAGCCCTGATAGTTGTGGGCACTTGCAGAATAAGTCAGCAGATGGAAATCCATGCTCTTTCTCTCTTTCTCCTTCAACACTCTGCCAATGAATAAGTAAATAGATTGATAGCTACATGGAGAGAGAGAACAGGGGAGGGAAGGGGAAGAAAAGTTCTTGTAAGGAAAAATAAAACAAGCTATTCAGATACTGACCTGTCTTAACTGGAAAAGAAATGAAAGCTAAGTTTTACGAATAAATTGAGTAATTTAACTTTTTCCCAGCCCTGAGATCAGATGATCGAGGATGAAGGAGTGGTAAGTGGAATGAGCAGGATTTGTGTCTCCAGCATGATTAAAAGCACAGCATCTTGCCTCTCGGTCTCCATCTTTTAATTTACAGGAAAAAAAATGCATCAGGTTCATCTCGCATAAAAATTCTATGAGAAGTACCAGCTTTTACAGTTTTAACACCATTTCATTTTCTCATTTATTCAGAAATCTTACTTCCTAGTTTGTCATGCCAATCTGTAGAATCCTCAGATGCACATACTTCAATGAACACCAAATAGCCCAATGACAATGGCACTAAGCAGTAATACTTGCTGTAAAATTAGCTCCGTAAAAAAAATGCCCAGGAGGCAGTACGGTGGCACAATGCACTAATTCTGCTGTAACTGTCGGCATCCAATAGGCATTGTTTTGTGTCCCAGCTGCTCAATTTCCAATCCAGCTCTCTGCCTATGGCCTAGGAAAACAGCTGAGGATGATCCTAGTCCTTGGGACCCTGACCCCACAGGGGAGACACAAAAGCTCCTGGCTCCCACCTTTGGATCAGCTCAGCACTGGCCTTTGCAGCAACTTGAGGAGTAAACCAGCATATGGAAGACATTCCCTCCCCTTTCTTTGTAAAATCTGCCTTTCAAATAAAAAAATAGACCAATCTTTTTTAAAAAGCTAATATCCAAAATTTGTCAGGGCTAGCATTATGGCACAGAGATTGAGCTGCACGTGCAATACCAGCATCCTATATTAGAATGCCAGCTAGAATCTGCCCTGCTATACTTCTACTCCAGCTCACTGCTAATGTGCATGGAAAAGCATCAGAAGATAGTGCAAGTATTTGGATCCTGCCACATAAGTAGAAGATACACAGACAGTTCCTGGCACTGCCTTCTGGGGAATCCTGCCCAGCGTTTGTCAGCACTGGGGAATGAAACTGTGGATCAAAGACTGAGCTCTCTCCTTCACTTCCTCTGGCACTCTTACTTTCGAATAAATAAATTTTTAAAATTATAAATAACAGATAAGTAGAATTTCAAGAAGCTCCATCATCTACCTGAGAACTCAAAAGTACATCCCTATCTATGTACAGAAACTGCGTGGTATGGACCATAAATACTTAACACTACATCCTCCGGTGAATAAAAGCTGTTGTCCCAAAGTCAGATTTTATAGAGAGAAGGAGAGACAGAAAGATCTTCCATCTGCTAGTTCACTCCCTAATTGGTTGCAACGGCTGAAGTTGAGCTGATCCAAGGCCAAGAGGAGCCTTCTCCAGGTCTCCCACATAGGTGCAGGGTCCCAAGGCTTTGGGCCATCCTCCACCACCTTCCCAGGCCACAGGCAGGGAGCTGGAAGGGAAGTAGAGCAGCTGGGACACAAAGTGGTACTCTCATGGGATCCCAGCACATTCAAGGAGAGGACTTTGACCACTAAGTAAATGTGCCAGACCCATTGTGCTTATTTTTTAAGATCTACTTATTCATTTATTTTAATGTAGAGCAATAAAGAGAAAGGGAGAGAGACAGATCCTCCAGCTACTGGTTCATTCCCTAAATAACCACAACAGTCAGATCTAAGCCAGGAAAACGCTGAGAATTCTATCTGGATCTCCCACATATGCTGCAAGGGCCCTTCCTCTTGGGACATCACCTGTTGCCTTCTCAGGCACATTAGCAGGATGCTGGATCAGCAGAGCTGCCAGAACTCCAACTGGCACTCAGATACGCAATGCCAATGCAGAGCCACAGCACCATCCCTTAAGTCAATTTTTATAGAAAAAAAAGGTCCAACAACTGGTGAACGGACAAGGTAATGTGATGTATATCCAACAGTAGAACACTACTCAGGAATTAAAAAAGAAGAAACTAACAATACACACAGGCACATGGGTGAAGTTCAAACACATTATGCTAGTCCGAAAAGCCAGAATTAAAAAGCTGTATACTAGATGACACCGTTTAACTGATATATTGGAAAAGGCAAACTATAAGGCCAAAAATTTGACGTAGGGATTTTGGTGAAAACAGATTAATTACAAAGGAGTAACATGAGTAAATTTGGAAGATTATGGAACTGTTTTCAACTGTGATGATTCTTAATATGAATTTGTCAAGATTCAGACTGAATAGTTAAAAATTTTTTAAAAAGCTAATGTATGACTGAAGTTTGGGTAAGAATGATACCTTGTAAAAGTCAGCTACTAAAAATCAGAAAATGTTAAGAGGTGTTTCTTTTTAGCACAAATTATATCACATAAGGATGTAGGAACACCAGGTAACATGTGCACTCATAGCTGGTTTGATCACCTCATATTTTAAAATACAAAACACTGAAAAGGAGGTAAAATATTTTTCAGTTCATGCTGCGCAGACTATGCATATTAGGCAGTCAGAAAATTTTCTGACCTAATAAACAAATCAAAAAGCATTTACACTGACTTGAATATCCTACTCTACTGGAACATGCATATGTAGCTTAAACCACCAAAAAAAAAAACAAATATTAACATACACTGGAACCCAGACACATAGTATACTAACCTAAAATTCCTCAGTTGATCAACAAAGGCAATAAAGCACTTTATCTTAAATGAAAACACCAGCAGGGTTTTAGATGCCTCTTAGCAACAGCAGCAATCTGAAACAAACAAAAAATAGACAAATTCAGTGCTACTCAAATTTCAATTAGCATTACTATCCTGTCGCTTAAATTTCTATTATTTTCCTTCAGGTAGTCCCCTGTAACATGCAAATTCATTTATTCTGGTATATTTATTTATTCTGCAAGCAGTACTTTCTAAATAACAACAAGGAATGAGTTTTGTTTTACAAATTAATCTAAACTCAACCACACTGGATGTCTTAATTTGCTTCACAGTTCATCTTTAAATAAATCAGCACACATAAAAATTAGTTTTTGAACACAAAATTCTTTAATTCTTAAATTTTGTGTTCTCACACACATGGCAATGAGAAATCTCATTTCAGAATAAGGCTCAAATCTACATATTCCCCATGTCCCAAATGGCTCTAAGACCCAGCTTCTTGCTGTCTCCTATATAATCTTCCACTCTAACTATTCATCTGCTTGCTTTGCACAGGACAACTGTCACTCTGTTACCAATCAACAACACAGCATTCCTTCATATTACAACAGGGGATTTTTCCTCGCTGATTCTTTTTGTCAATCAATTCTCATCCACTACTTCTCTCAAAATTCAGTTCTCCACACATTTTTCTTTCTGGAGGTTATAACTCATTAACCTTTTCTAGAATATGTGTTACATTCTATGTCTGCCACTTCATGTGGTCTTTTGATCAGAGTTTACATCCTACTTCTTTTGTCTCTGGCCGTCCATCATTTAACATCAGGTTTGACAAACAGTAAGCAATCGATATAATAAACTGACAAGTCAAATGTTCTTTTTTATTATTATTGTTTTTATTTTTGATGATTTTTATAAAATCAATTAGGGGGTAAAGGGCTACAAGAAAGTGAGTGAGACCATTATTTCCACATTCTTTTTTTTTTCCTTCCTGCATCTTCCTGGTACATTTCCGTCAAACACCTACCGCTCACAGTGCAGGTTAATAACACTTCAGATGCAGGAAGGGGGAGATAAAGGGAGAAGCCACAGCCAGCCTTCCAACCACCTCCATGTCCTGGGATGGAGGACAGCCACCCGACTCCATCACAGTGTTTGCTTTACAGGGCATGCTCCGAGGGTCCTGCACAAGAGTTTTGCTAGTTCAACAGTTCTGAACAACTGCTGATCTTGCCACTCCCAGCACAATGTAATCTTCCCAGGATCCACCGGTTCACACAGTCCACGTTAGAGTCTCCGTTTATCCAGGTATTCACTGTCAACACTTGGCTGGGGGTTGATTCATTTGTTCTCTCATCCACCCTTTACTGTAGAACCAGGTGTTCTCTGCACACTCCAATGTACTGCCACGTCCTCCATGTGCACCTGGATATGCGATTCACTGCTCTGTCTAAACCACTGGGTCCAGAGTCATAGCCTAGTGGCTAAATCCCCGCCTTGTATCCGCCAGGATCCCATATGGGCGACAGTTTGTGTCTTGGCTGTTTCACTCCCCCATCCAGCCCCCTGCTCTGTGGTCTGGGAAAGCAGCAGAGGACGGCCCAAAGCCTTGGGACCTTTGCACCCGTGTGGGAGACCCGGAAGAGGCTCCGGACGCCTGCTTCGAATCGGATCAGCTCTAGCCACTGTAGCCACTTAGGGAGTGAACCAGCGGACAGAATATCTATCTCCTTCTCTATATATATATCTGCCTTTCCAATAAAAATAAATAAAATCTTTAAAGAGTTCCACATCTAATATAGTAAAATAAGCTTCCACCAAACAGATCTTTCTTCAGAAAACAATTATAAAACTCAATGAAATACAAACATCTAGGTACATTTAGGTACATTTGTACCTAAAGACACAGGAGCATGAACAAAAGCCCAATTCTGCAGAATACATACTTGGAACCAGAGAAAGCAGCAAGTTTCCACATATAGAGCAGTCAGTGGAGGGTAGTCCTCCACCGGAGGCAACCCCACAAAGCTGCTAAGCCTTCCAGCAGGGAAGCGCCGTTTTCACTGTCCAGAGAATCATTCAAGAGAACCACTAAAACTAGAAATGGGAAAACATTAGAACTGAAAGGGCAAGACAGAGGAAGTCATAAATTCATGTAACTCCAAGCTGTGGCAGGACCACTAGCTCACCAATAGACTGCGCACATGCAGACTCCAGCTAATGATGAAAGAAAAGGAATTAAAAGATAAAGTGTCTCCTAATACAGAGTTTGTACTATGGATATAATCAAATTAGTCACATGCTAATAAGCAAGCAGAAAACATTCCTGGACATACATGGAAAACAAAATACAGAGAATCTACTGTAAAATAAAGAGCGCTAGCTAAAATCAAAAGCAAAATCAAGAAAATGAGACAAAAAACAACAGACATTGACTTTGATAAGGATCCTTAAAGGACTATTACAAATATGATGAGTGAGTTTTAAAATATGCTGAGAACCAGAAATCAAAAAAGGGCCAAATGAAAAAGCTATAAAAGGAAAATATTCTACTTCTATTTCATTAACTAGTCTTCACTGGATGCAATTGGGAAAAGTAGGTGAACCTGAGAACAAATGGTTTAGAAACTTTCCATTTAGAAGAACAAAGTAAACTACTACTGGGAAAAAAGGAAATGGATAGGCCTCAAGGGCCCAGGGGAACCAAAACAAAAGGTCAAACATAATGCGTCCCAGAACGACAAGAAAGTGATTAAGTCTGAAAAAAATCTTTTAAGAAATAATGACTGGGGCCCGGCGCGGTGGCACAAGTGGTTAAGGTCCTCGCCTTGCACGCCCGGGATCCCATATGGGCGCCGGTTCTAATCCCGGCAGCCCCGCTTCCCATCCAGCTCCCTGCCTGTGGCCCGGGAAAGCAGTCGAGGACGGCCCAAAGCTTTGGGACCCTGCACCCGCGTGGGAGACCCGGAAGAGGCTCCTGGCTTCGGATTGGCATAGCATCAACCGTTGCGCTCACTTGGGGAGTGAAACATCGGATGGAACATCTTCCTCTCTGTCTCTCCTCTCTGTATATCTGCCTTTCCAATGAAAAAATAATAATAAAAATAAATCTTTAAAAAAAAAAAAAAAAAAAAAAAAAAAAAGAAGAAATAATGACTGGAAAATTCTTAAATCTAATAATGAACATTACAGATATGAGAATCTTTGCTAACCATAAAATTTCAAAAAAATAAAATAAAGAACCCCACCTAGATTCATCACTGTCAGAATAAAGTAAAATTTTTAAAAACCAGACACATGACATGTTACACACAAACCAAACCCACAGACTTCTCATAAGAAAATAAAGCGGCCAAAGATAATAATATACTATTAAAGTGGCCCTCAAAGTAAAAGAGAAAATAAAGATATTTCAGATAAAATAAAACCACAAGAACTTATGACCAGCAGGACTCCACTACAAGAACTAAACAAAGTTACATCATGCCAAAGGAAAATCCTATTATACCAAACCTTTAACCTTCATTAGGACAAGAAAAGCATCAAAATCAGGAAATATCTGTATAAATAAGTGTTCTTCTGGATTCCTTTAAAATGTGACAGCACGAAGTAAACACAAGTATTATATTTCCCTGTGGAATTTATAATACACACTTACATAAAACCTAGAATATGAAGCAAGGAATAAGTAAGGACTAAATGAGTCTTTACAAATCCTAAATTTCATGGGAAATGTTACAATACTAATCCTCAGTAGATTAAACACTACAGGATGCATAATCTCTAAGATCATTAAAAATGTCACCGAAGTAGTTAACTACCGAATAAGCATGTTAAAGCAATTTTGTGTAAGATTAAAGTGAACCAAAGAACAACGGTAAATGAGAAACGATGCAAAATACAGAAGGAACAAATTTTAAAAAGGTAAAACATAGGCCTAATTCCGATAATTACGTTATGCTAGTAGACTAAATCATTCCAAAGAAAAAGCAAAAGTTCTCAGAAAAACATATATGCAATATCAAACTGTGCAATTCACAAGAAACACTTTAATATAAACAAACACAGTGTAAGTAGTTTGGGAAGAAAGCTACATTAACACTAAAAAAAGACTTCAAGATAAAGAATATTTCATAGTGATAAGGGGTCAGCTCATCAGCAAGAAGTTATAACCATAAATGAATTTCCTATATGGAAAGTTAATCCAGCAATCATAGAGAAATACAAATTTCCATGAGATAAATGGAGAATTTAATAACTCTCCACCAATAACTGATAGAATGAGATCAAAAGATCCATTAAGACCCAGACTACATGAATGCCATTAACCAACTTAACCTTATATTTATAAAAGTCTCCAGTAAACAACTTCAGAATATATATTCAAGTGTTACATTCATTATAGCAGAACATATGATGAGTCATAAATAAATTTTATTAAATTTCAGAAGATTAAAATAATGCAGGAATAAATCACACACACAAAAAAATAATAGCACTGAAACAGAAATGAATTATTAGAAATGAAGAATACAATACAGCAAATCCAAACTACAATGGAAACTCTCAAAGAATGAGTGAAGCAGAAGGAACTTCAGAACTAGAAGACAGCCATGCAGACGTGCACAATCAGAAATATGGAAGAGGAATTGAGTAAAGCTAAGAAAACCATCCAACAATTAACTGACACCATCAAACGGTCAAACGGAATGGTCACAGGAATTCCACGAGGCTCAGAAAGAGAAGCTGGGGCCCGGCGCGGTGGCGCAAGTGGTTAAAGGTCCTCGCCTTGCACGCCCGGAATCCCATATGGGCGCCGGTTCTAATCCCGGCAGCCCCACTTCCCTTCCAGCTCCCTGCCTGTGGCCTGGGAAAGCAGTCGACGATGGCCCAAAGCTTTGGGACCCTGCACCCGCGTGGGAGACCCGGAAGAGGCTCCTGGCTTCGGATCGGCATAGCATCAGCCGTTGCGCTCACTTGGGGAGTGAATCATCGGACGGAAGATTTTCTTCTCTCTCTCTCCTCTCTGTATATCTGCCTTTCCAATAGAAAAATAATAAAAATAAATCTTTAAAAAAAAAAAAAAGAAAGAGAAGCTGGATTGAAAGATGTACTCAATGAAATAATGCATGAGATCTGCCCCTACTTGGAGAAAGGGGAAACCAAATGCAGGAGGGACACAGAACACGAACCAGACTGGGCCAGGAACAATCCTCATCAACGACACAGCACAATCAAGTTCTCTTTGGTTGAACATAAAGAAAAGACACCTAAAAATGCATGCAAGAGACATTAAATGACTTACAAAGGAACACCAACCAGACTCACAGGTGACTTCTCAGAGGAAAACTCTATATGGCAAAAGAGAATGGCCTCACATATTCCAGCAACTCAAACAAAAAACCTGTAAGACCAGACTAACATAGCCAGCAAAGCTTTCATTTGTATTTTTTTTAAGATTTATTTATTTTTATTGCAAACTCAGATATACAAAGAGGAGGAGAGGCAGAGAGGAAGACCTTTCGTCCACCAACTCACTCTCCAAGTGGCCACAACGGCCAGTGCTGAGCTGATCTGAAGCCAGGAGCCAGAGTTCCTTCCAAATCTCCCACATGGATGCAGAGCTTTAAGGCTCTGAGCCGTCCTCAACTGCCTTTCCAGGAAACAAACAGGGAGCTGGATGGGAAGCAGGCCTCTGGGACATGAACCAGAGCCCAGATGGGATCCTAGCACACGCAAGGCAAGGATTTTAGCCATTAGACTATTGCGTCAGGCTTATTTTCATTTGTATTTGAAAACAATCTAAAAACAAAAACTGCAAGATTTTACCTCTACCTGACCAGCTGTACAAATGCTGCTTTAAAATGTGTTACAGAAAGAAAATGACACCTATCAAATCCAAAGATAAAAGTGAAGAACATCTCAATAAAACTACACAAGAAACCAAGCAGTAAAACTCCAATGCAAAAATGACAAGACAAAATCACTATCTGTGGAGATGAACCCTGCACTCAAATGACTTAAATGCATGAGTGAAAAAACACAGATGGTGGACTAGATCAAACAGCAAGAAAGTTGGCTGGTGGGCCTTCCTTTCCTAACCTCACGCTACAAAGCGAATAGAATGAAACACTCTAGCTGCATTACCTGAGAGAGAGGAAAAGGAAAAAGAGAGAGAGATCTTTGATCCTACTATGTAGGCTATTGTTTTTCTCTGAATGTTTATGAAAGTTCACATGAGGCATAGAACTGTGAACCAGTGCACATTTGGCTTAAGTTGTGAAACTTTCTTACATACAGATGAATGACATTGATATAGCAAAACAGCATCATTATTACCAATATTTTCCTCTACACTTGAGACTTCAGTCACTTACAAGGTACAGAAGCTCAACCTAAATGCTTCCCTTTGCTTCTTCTCTATCGCCTTACGAACCTCTTCTTGCCTCCATATGGCATCTCTGACCTCCTCAACCTATCTTCTTTGCTAGCTTACAAATTTTTACTGTAATAAATATAGGTTAAAATGAAATCTATTATAGTTTTAAAAATCATAAAGTCTTTTAAATCTTGTACAATTGTCTGAGGCCTCAGATATTCTCATTTTTACTAGACAAAGCCAATGGTATCAGTCGATATTCATTCATGTAGCCTTCCACCTCAAATAAATGGCAAGGGCTAGCTTTGAGGCACAGCGTTTTAAGGGCTGCCCATGACGCCAGCATCTTACAATGAAGCCCCCATGTGAGTCGTGGTTCCTCTGTGTCTGATCGAACTTTCTGCTGATGGCCCTAGGAAAGCAGAGGAAGGCGGCCAAGTACGGGGGCTCCTGCTACTCACATGGGAGACCTAGCTGGAGTTCCATGCCCCTCACTTCAGCCCAGCCCACCCTGAGACACTACAAACATCTGGGGAGTAAATCAACAAATGAAGGGGTGTGTGTGTGTGTGTGTATGCACCTCTCAGCATCACTCTGCCATTCAAAAAAAATAAAACTTTCAAAAATAAATCAATAGATAGCATTTCTAAGACCCTAAGCATTAACTAATGTATTTCAGAAGCTTTATAACACAGGCACTTATAGAAAGGGTCATAGTGGCAGCCGTAAAAGATTCCAAGTACAGAAAATAGTATTGCTATGTACCCTCCCTATTAAATTCAAGATAAAAACAACACTAAAGAACTAATATGTTTTACTTTTCTTAGCGTTTCAATAATTGCTTTATATATAAAATGGTCATTTTTTTCAAATTCTTCCTCTGCTTTAATGATTCCCAAAACCTCTGAGTAACCCTAAAACAAGCAACAGACAGGACGCCACATGAAGAGGTCTACTCTGGATCAGGTATTCTATATGCATTACTTCTCATTGTTACAACGTGCACAAAAAGAGATATTATCATCCTGTTTTACTGATTTAAAAAATTGCTCCAAGAGGCTAGATAAGATGCCCAAGGTCACTCAAACAGCAAAAGGCAAAGCTGAAAATCTGCAATAGGCCTTTCTGTGCCTCAAGTCCGATCCATTAACCAGAATGCCTGGAATTTCTGCAGAATCCATTGTTGAACAACATATCACTTCGAAGAAACAATGAAAAATGCTTTGTAAATGGGTCATTTAATAACAGAGCACTCACATTTTCCATGGAACTGCATCACCAATAGTCCCAGAGAGTGACTATATAATTTTTACTATAGCTGGGACTCCGTAAAGTACAACTAGAGAAAGTAGTCACATGGATGGAACCCCCTGGAGTTGTGTGATGTAGCAATGACAACCCAAAAGCTTGTCAACACCCTCCAACCCCCTGCAAAATGGTCACACTCACTGGGGCTATGTCAGCCTGAAGCCAGAAGCCTAGAACTCCATCTGAATGTCCGGCATGGGTGACAGAGACCCAGGCATTTGGGTCATGAAATGGTGTCCACACAGAATGCTGACTGCAATGGCTTAACCTGCTGGTGCCGCAATACCACCCCCAACAATCATTTATTCAAAGCAGCAAAGCATTCTCGAAATATTTTAAAAATTATTTTAAAGCATGTGAAAATACACTAAAAGCATTAAGCATTAGGAAAATATAAACTACAACTGCAATGATATACTACCACACACAAATTAAAAGAGCTAATTTTTTTTTAAATTGATCATTGACAATGCAGAGTACGAGCAAGGATGTGGAAACACTGCTGTTGAGAATACAAAATGGTACAGTCAGTTTGGAAAAAGAGTTTGGCAGTTTTCTTACAAATTAAACATATGCTTACCATATGATCCAGCAACTCTACTTCTAGGTATTTATCCCAGTGATATGAAAACTTAAGATCACACAAAAAGCTATGCATCAGTGTCTACAGAAAGCCTTATTCATAATCTCTAAAAACTAAAAACAAGCCAATAGCTTTCCACCGATGAGTGGATAAACAAACTTTTGTGTATCCCTACTATAGGTTACTACTCAGCAATGAGAAAAAGAAATCTCAACACACAACAAGATAAATGAATCTTAAATGTATTTTCTCAGTAAGTCAGGGTGATCCAAAAGTCTACGTAACATTAGTTCCATTTCGATGACATTGTGGAATACCACAGCCACAGCTACGGGGAGCATATCAGAGCTGTCAACACACGACATGCCAACCACAGACGCATCATACGAGCTCTGAGTCTAAATTCTAGGGTTGGAATTGATCTGACCATTTGCCAAAGCTATATATCACAAAGTATTAACTGTTCTGAACATAAATTTTAAAATAAAAAGTCATGTGAAAAAAAGAAAAATAATAAAGAAAACATGTTAAATGGGGCGGGCACTAGAGGTGGAAAAATAAAAAAAGAGGTTTGAACAAGACAATGGCCTCTCCTCGAAAATTCAAGATAATACAGCTGCCTCCACTGAGCTGCGGCGATCTGATGCAAGGTGATTAACACAAGGTTTACCACTCAGTAAACTCAGAACTGACACTAGTTCCCTGCCCCTTCCCTGCTTCACTCCTCCACTTATGCATGCGTCTTCCATTCTCCATCACTCTTGTTCCTTCTTCTCTTGTCTCCATCACTGTATTGCCTAGATTGATCTGGCTACTTCCCATTCCTTTCCCCCTTATCCCCCTTATCCACTCCTTACCCTTAGTTAACAGTATCTCTATTTCTGTGGTTTTGACAGTAATGGCATGACTATTTCCCACATGATTAGCTCACGGATAGAAGTCTTCTTCCAGAAACTAAATTTTCTGCCATCTGAGGCCTCAGCTCTCTGCCATGAAAGATGCTGTCTTATATAAGGAGAAAACACAGCACAGAAAAAAATAAAGACAGGAAACTGGTAGTATTAGAAGACATCTCTAAGTTCCTGCATCTAGTTGTTCCTGAAACACTCTACCACTATCTTTCCTACTCACGTAGTCCAGAAATAATACCTTGTGTAGAAGCCATTTTGGAATTACTGTTTTTATTTTTTTTTTCAAGATTTATTTTACTTATTTGAAAGTCAGAGAAAGAGTCAGAGTTAAAGGCACAAACAGATCTTGCATGTCTGGTTCACTCCCCGAACAGCTGCGATGGCCAGGGCTGGGCTAGGCCAAAGCCAAAAGCCAGCAGCTTCTTCCAGGTCTCCCACATGGTCACAGGGGTCCAAACACTTGGGCCATCCTCCACTGCCTTCCCAGACACGCAGACAGCTGGAACAGAAGTGGAGCAGTCAAGACTTACCACTGCTGGCACTGAATTGCTGTTTTTAATGCTTCCCATTTAAAATACACAAAACATTTTATTTTTTTAAGAAAATAATAGTAAGTTGTTTCTTCACTTGCTGAGGCCTTCAGTTAGCTAATGTTCAGTGTTGGCAATCAATATAAAGTTATCACTCAATTCTACTGAAGGACAAACATACATGTGTGAAGAGGTAGAAATAAAATGCCACAAATAAAAAGAGTCAAAAAAAAATTCTATTGCAGGTTGATATTTCAAGTAGTCAGGAATCATGAAATTAGCTTTCAATGAAAATTATAATAAGGCTTTAAATCTCCAATGTAAGTAATGTTGACATTTCAGCTACTTGCATTTTACCATTCAGCTTACTCAACAGCTAACAAACACATGTTACTTTTCTCACTGTCTTCACATGTTTCCTGACTGGTTTTAATTGACCACTGAAGAAAGGCTTATGCCAACAGGAAAAACACACATATACAATAAGATAAAAGCAAAGTCTCATGAGTTAACAATCTACACTCTCTTTTTTCTAACTGCTCTGCTTAATTCATTTTAT